GCCACTCACGAAATTTTCCGCGATGCAATTTCTTTTGCGATACCATGTGCGATTCAAAATTGGTTACGCTGTGGATTAAATATTCCATATTGTTAATGCGACGCCATGGTTGCGTTATTCTTCATTTAACACCGGCGATATTTCGCGGTATTGATAGCGTGACGCCATTGACGAAATATTCCGCGATGCAACATTGGTAGTGCGACGCCACTGAAATATTCCACGTCGCGATGTCTTTTGCGCGACGACATAGACGAAATATTCCAACAGACGTTGTTAGTGCGTGAGCGAGATATCTCGTCCTTGCCAGCAAACGGGTTAATTCCTCCTCCCGTTATCGATCCATCCACGTCGAATGTAAATCCAAAGGAATCGAATGCATCGAGTCGTGAGACTCGAAAGAGGTGAGACTAATCAATCGACTCTCCGTCACAATCAATTCGAATATACGCGGTACATGAGTTGGAAAGCTTTGAACACGATCCATATGATCGGATCAGCGACGCCTCGGGAAATCGCGATACATATGCGTGCAACCTGTTGTATCCGGGAGACCGATCGATTTATCCAGCGTCGAATTATCGTTGCAAAGGGCCGCTATAATTTCAGATTCTACACGAGCTAGCGTAACGGGAGAAACCAAAGTTGCTCGGGATAACGATCATCTTTGAATATTTCATACCCTTGATGGAAATATTTCTAAGATAAATTGCGAGATGAAAAGATCACGGTGGTGGAATGAAATATCGCTCGTTCTATCGCGTCGGATAGAGTGGAGATCGATGGATAAAAATTGTGTATTCAGCGGGCGAAAAAATTTCATGAATTTAGTTCGTCAACAATGTTGCGTGAAAATTGGAACGTAAATTTTTAAATTGATAAATTACGCGTGGATGAAAATCTTATTTTATGTTTGCACTCTCTCTCTCTCTCTCTGTCTTTCCTATAATAAATATACAATAATTGCCTATTATTTCTTACGCACTAACTCCTTCTAATAATTCTTCAATCTCGAGTTTCTTTAACTAAATTTATCATTCCACGGCTACGAGCCTTTTATTCCCAACGTTTCAATTTTTTCGCCAACTTCTTCTTGATACTTGAAATGCCGATAAAAAAATATTCCTTAACCTTTAAGAGAAAGTTTCCTTAACGCGGTGAATCACATTTGCCACTCCAATTATTGTTCTCGTTCGAACGAAGAAAAGCAACCGGCCCATCTTTGTTATTCCACTGGACGAGATTGGAAAGCTTTCACCGGCGAAAAACTTTAATTTGGAATCTCCACTCCCCGCCATCCCAGCAAAATTTCATTTCGTTAAGAGAACGATTCGCGAGAACGCGAGAAATCGATCTTTTAATTCGTCGATCTTATCCTCCTCCCCTCCTATTTTCTTTTATAACCTGTCTCGTCTCTGAATTTTTCTAGAAATTTCTCACAAAATTTCGAGTCTTTAGAAATTTCCAAGCGAGTTTTGGATTCTCGCAGGTTAGGAAATTACGCGTTAAAATCGTGTCCCAGAGAGTGGCAACATGGTCGCCTATGATGTGACATGAACTGTAATGAATAGCGCGGTATTATGCTTATCAGTTACTCTTAGTGCTTATCAGACGCGGTAATTTCTCTGCATTAGACATACTCTCGTTTGTAAATAAGCGTTAGGACGTCATCGTTGGTAGATGGTTGCATGAAACGCGAACTGTCCTAACTGAAAATTGAAACGTTAATTTCGTGCTTTATACGTTGCAGGTCGATGACATTTATATCTGGTGATGTATATCTGGTCTGAGTGGAACGAGGAAGAAATTGGTCAGACTTTGAAATACAGACATATCGAAATATTACTAGAGGGATTTACTAAAGCAATGGAACTTTAGTGAACAGAAAGTGATTAATGGAGGAATTGGTCCATCAGATCCTTGGAATAATGTTCAATTTATGAAAGGTATTAAAATTATTAAAGAGATCCTGCGAAGAATGATTAATGGACTTTTAATGAATGAAAATTGATTATTGCAGCAATTGATTAGATCTTAGAATATAATCCAATTTATATATTAAAACGTTATTAGAGGTAGTCAACTAAATGGACAAGAAGTGAAGAAATTGGAATATAACATTGCTCAATTTATGAAAGATATTAATATTATTAAAAAGATCTTTCAAAGAATAAATAATGAGTAAAAGGTACAAGTGCAAAAGTTGATCAGACTTGAATGTAACTCAACTTATGAGATACATTGAAACATTATTAAAAGGATAATATTGATGCAGGAATTGGTTAGATCTTATTGCTTAATTTATGAAAGATATTAAAACTATTAAAGAAATCCTTTAATGGATAAAAAATAATTACTGCAGGAATTGATATGATACTGATCAAGAAATGAAATGCAATATTAATAAAAGGATTTTCCAGAGGAAAATAATGAATAAAAAGAAAATAGTAAAAATTGATCAAACATTGGAATAGTGAAACAAACTAGATAAAGTTTTACAAAATACTGGGATTCATGACAACTTGCTGACCCACTACCAAGCAGTCATAGACGAATGGAGATGATACTTCACCTAGTCCCATATTGTGAGGGATTAAGGGCAATAAGTTCAAAAATACTTAAGGTTTCTATACTGGACACGAACACGACAATAAAGTTTCTCCATTTTACTTCCATATCAAGATTACTTTTCATATGAAATTGAAACTATATATACTAAAGCTATATATAATAATTTGATATGATAGTAGAGAGTCTAATCAAATTCTCAACTTACACTTTCATCTGTAGTAATAGATAGATGTTAATACATGTATATTAACAAAAGTTTAATATTAATCAAATTTTGTAAAATATAAACAATGAAAGAATATGTGTATCTATGAAAGACCATAGATTAATGAACTATTTAAAGTTTAACATTGGAATTCTACATTAAACGAAAGGATGAAGAAATTTGATGAAAGTGCATATCTCCTATCTCGATTTGATTAATCGACCAGATTATTTTTAGCGGCTGGGTTCCATTAAGAACGGTGGAAGTTTGTTAAAGATACCGAGTTATCGGGCATCGCTTATAATCCCAGCCAACATTCTACCCGTGACCTGGCCCATTGTGCACTTTAATCAGGTATCTGTGACCCGCTACGATAACGTTAGGCCACTGTCCAGGCTCTTGTATTTATCAACCCCACAGATCCTGCTCTCTATTCTCCTTATATATTTGGTTAAATACTCTCTTAACTCGACAACCACCTTCTCTTTCTCATTCTCAACTTTAACACTTTTTTTCATTCTTTTCTTTTCCAGAATCAATCTATCGTGGATTTGTCCACTTGCTATCATTTAACTTTCGGTCAAGTATTATTTTATATTTCGCATTCTATAGATCCCAAAAAATTCATGAAATATAGTATATAAGTTCAATTTAGTATTAGCAATCATTTTTTTGCAAATATTTCGAAAACTAAGGCCAATCGATATATTTGAGATCTTCTGCAATACGTTTAAAGATTGTCGAAATCACGTGTCGACAGTTTTATCATGTATTATCGTATCAATTGTACGATGAGAATTGATAAAAATTTATAACGATATCTTCATCAATTTTTCGTGCGAGATAGAGAGATCTAGGGACTTTGGGTCGCAGCAGTTGTTAAATGGAAAATTTGTTGAACCGTAACGAAAACCCTACGGCTATTTACGAAACCTCGATTCGTATCTATCTGCATATGATGTTTTCCCATTGCCAAAATTTCGACGATGCACGTCTAAAATTTTTATAAAATCAAAAAATATAATTTATTCCCAAATATTCTTAAATCTATTATCCATTAATATTCAAATATTTGTATATTTTCGTAACTCCGCTCCACTAGTTGATTATTATGGAAATTATTCACCAAAATAATTTTGGAGCAACTTAATATTGCGCTGACATAATTTTGAATTATACGATCGACTATATGGATATGGAGTATATATGTATATGTTATAATAATTAGAGAGAAAATTGCAGAGACAGTTTGCTATACGTTGTCCATTATATTAATAAACAATTGGGAGAGTGCATTAATTATCGACCTACATGTGTAAAAGGTTTAATGATCAAAATTTGGTTAGGTACTCTCTATCGAACTCAGCCTTAAATACGTTATTGATAACTAGTCGATTTTCTAAGTTGGTAATTTCAATGTTCCTAGATACTAGGTTATCAAACTTATGTTAAAGATTGATTAATTAATAGCAAGATTAAATAAAGATACTTGTATGAGATACATATATATATATATCTTTTTAATCTTTTTAATCTTTTTTAAAATAATTTTGCTTTTAATTTTAAAGTCGTTTTCGTTAGAAAATTTTTTTCTTCGATCTGTTTTTGCAAATGTTTATGTCAAAATTTGAAAATTTTGTAATACGAATAAACCGTAGGAAAATGATTTTCCATGAAAATAATTCCTATCCTTGATTGAAATTGAATTTTTACGAGACTAAATATTTAAAATTTATGATTTAACGAAAATAAACTGCGAAAAATCGTTCGGTGAAATTTATCGATAGGTCGACAGAATTTTGTGGAATACTTTTTTACATATTTTCATATCAAACATAACTTTTTGTTAGAAGCAATTTTCACCGTGTAAAAATAAAAATTTCTCGGTTTTAACGATTATCTCGTGAAAATTCCAATAACCAAAATGAAGTTTGAATCAAATAACACTTTTGAACAATGTATTTTAATTTAACGAACATAGATTTTTTTTTTAATTTATCATTTATGAAAACATTTCAATAATCTCTTCCGTTTTAATTATCATATATAAAAGAAAAAAATTTTTTTAATTTTTAAAAATTAATTAAATTTACAATTTCGAATAAATTAACAATTTATAAAAAAAATAAATATTAGACAAATTCGAAATAAATTAATTTTATCAGGCAAATTAACGATTCCAAAATTTTCTGTAGTTATCGAATTCACGAGATATATTATTTAAGTTGATTTATCGAAATATAGTGGTTTGTCATCGATAGTGAAATTCTATAAGATTAATACGCATATACATTTATACAATACACACATAAGTACCTGTTGCTGATTTTCTCTCTGCGTGGTTAGACGAGCCTCGACGCATTGTCTTGTCTCCAGGAAGGCTTGTCTTTGCGCCAGTTCTCGAGGATGATGCGTCAACACTCCGGCCATGTTCGTCCCACCAACCACCACAATGGAGCTTAGTAACTGTAAAAATGAAGATAGAAATTTAATAATAATTTAAAAGGGGGAAAAAATATTTCTTAAAAAATAAATAGTTGAAAAAAAAAACAATGATGATATATCTTAAGAATTTGAAAAATTTGATAAATATTTTAATAAATATCTTATAGAAAAAAAAAAATCTACTTGAAAGAAAAAGAAAAACTTTTATTCAATAATTAAATAATAATGGGAAAAAAAGGTTAATTTAAATAAATTTAAGTAAGGAAAAGTAAAAAATAAAGTGGAAAACTTTTGTTGAATGAATATATTTACTTTAATTAAGATAATAACATTTGATGACAAATTCTATTAGAATTGGAAAGATTTGACAAATATTTTATTTTCTTACATCTTGATGTACTTTATAATACAAAAGTAAAGACTAATTAACAGAAAAGAGTGGAAAACTTGCGTATCAAAGAAACGCAAGGTTTACCTCGAGTTGTACATTTGGACAATATAGATTTAGAGGAGATCCAAGTAACGATATCATCAACTCATGGGGGTCTATATTAAGAAAAGAGCACGAAGAGGGGTTTTTAGTGGGTCGTCGTACAACATCTCGTAACAACCCTACATGAAGATACGGGTCAATGGATATGCTTTTGTGCTTTTTTCCCCTTCTTACGAAAAAAAAAATAATAATAATAATAATAATAAAAAATAAAAAATATGATGTCCGTGAATCAATCATTAAATTATTTCATATTTTTATTTTAATTTATGAAACGTGTCTGGAATCAAATCACATAATGACATAAGATGATAAATATTAATGGTTCACCATATAAATATCTACTTTAACTAAATTTTTTAAAAATAATAATTTTATTTATGAATTACCATAATAATAAATAGGTATTCCTATTTTTTTCAAATTTTATAAGATCGTACAATTTAAATATAATTAAATACAAAAAGAAAGAAAAGAAACAATCGTGACGAAAAAAGATATCAAATAAATATTCAAAAGTTTGTAAGAAATTCACAAATAAATCATCGACACGCATAAATTTAAAATATAACGATTTATGTATGATTTATGAAGACAAGGAAAATATTTTTCACAAATTAGCAAGCGTAACAAATTTGCAAATTAACTTGTTAATTATTATTAAATTTGAAATTAACGAGCGTTTACATATATATATATATATAATGATATAAAAATATCGACAAGAAGAGCGTGTAAAATTGTAATGTTGAAAAAAAAAAAAAAAGGAAAGAAAGAAAAAGTTGGCACAACCCGGTTCAAAAATAATTAAAAAGAATTATTTGCATATGCATACACTTATTTACATGGCAGGCCGTGCGCGAGGCGGGACAGTTTCTGAGCGCCGGCCGAAATTTCCTTGGCGAAAAGTAAGCACCGCACCGGTCAAAGGAGAGGTTTATCGAGTTTACGAAGTTGGCAGCAGTTCGATACACGATAGCATACTAATTGCAAAGCCCACTCTAATTAAACCGTGGCGGTGCCGGTGCAGGAAACACTTGCACAAACGCGTATCTCTTTGACGTGCCGTCGCTTTTGGATCGACGTTGCAGACCACTCGTGATGCTTCCTTTGGATTTCCATTTCGACGTCGACCGACCTTTACGTCTATATCGCTTTCACGGGAACATTTTCATTGACTTTGGGGTCAATTCGTTTCGTGTATTCGATCGTATATGGGAGGTGTGAGTGAAAATGATACGATCGTTTGGAGGATAAGGGAATTTAGAAATTTTTAACGTTTTTGTTGAGAATATTTGGAAATTTTTATATTTTTTATTAGGTTAAGAATAAATTTGGAAATTTGGAAATTTTATTTGAGAATAAAATTGAAGGTATGTAGAAATTTAGAAATTTTAATATTCTGGTTGAGAATGATTGGAAATTTAGAAATTTTATTTGAGAATATTTGGAAATTTTATTTAAAAATAAAATAGAGGATATGTAGAAATTTAGAAATTTTAATATTCTGGTTGAGAATAATTGGAAATTTAAAAATTTTATTTGAGAATATTTGGAAAGTTAGAAATTTTAATATTCTGGTTGAAAATAATTGGAAATTTAGAAATTTTATTATTCTGGTTGAAAATAATTGAAAATTTAGAAATTTTATTTGAGAATATTTAGAAAATTAAGAAATTTTAATATTTTGGTCGAGAATAATTGGAAATTTAGAAATTTTATCATTTTATTTGAAAATATTTAGAATATTTTATTCAATTAATTTTTTTTAATTAATTTTTTCTTCTAAAATTTATCTATTGATCTCAATATCATCATTTATTCATTCGATTTTTATTCAATTCATTAACATAAACGAATTTTTGGAAATTCAAAAATTCAAGTAACTTATAATATTTGGAAATTTCTAAATTGACCAATTGAATCAAAATGGAATCAATGTTATGTGAAATCAATTTTGGAACAAATTGGTTAATTTAATTAGATTTATAAGTGTTGATAATTTTGGAACTAATGGAATATAAATTGCATTATTTAGACCGCGAGAATTACAGAAATCCGGAACGTATGGAATATGGAAATTTAATTTAATATAAATATATGTAAATGAATTAAACTGGGTTCAATAAATTTATGGTATGCAAGGGAAAATGTTAATTTAATTACGTTAATGTAATTTGGTTTAGAAACATCCCATCACTTTTATCCCTTGTCAAATGCACGATAGTAATTTCCTTTTTCCCTTTCAAACACGAGTATCAAAAATTCACAATTATTTATAAAAATTGATATTCACATTTGTTTCAAATTTCAATAAAAATGAATTATTACTTTGAAGATCTAATCCCACATTTTTCATTCCTTTAAATTAACATTTCTTTTATTGATCAAAATTTTAAATATCCTAATTACATAAAATCCAATGAAGAATCAAAAATCATTTTAAATGCAGATAATCACTTTAAATGCAATGTAAACCATCTTTTAATTTTTTCAAGATTTTGCATTTAACATTCAACTTTATTGTCGACCAATAATAGAATTTTAAGGTTAGGTTTAACAGAAAATTGTAAAAAAACGTTTTATTCGATTTTTAATTGATCACAAAAATTCGGATTGTACATGCAAATTGAAATAGAATTGTTCAGATCGTTTGAAAGAGCATCCACAATTATCATTTAATAAGTCCAGTCGATAATAGAGGGCGCGACAAGCACAATCCAAATTTTAAACAAGTGTTCGAACGCAAGCTCGCTAATCGCACAAAATTAATTTTCCACGACGGTTAATACTACCACGTTTCAACTTTAAATTTTTAACGTTTAAAAAACGTTGGAATCAAAGCGTGTAAAAGAGCGTGTGAGAAAAATTGGAGAAAAATTTCGACGGAAGGATTTTCCTACGTGAAAAATTTTAGAATTTATCACGATTGAATTGAATTATATAAAATATAATATAAGAGTGTGATATAAAAATACATACGAAATTCAAAAAATCGACGAAATTGCAAAAAAATTTACGAATAAATTTACGAGATCGCAAACGGAAAGTATTGAAAAAAGGAAATGTATTTTACGAAGCTTGAATTTTATTCTCGACGAGGGTTATATAAAATATAACACGGTTCAGAAATTCATCAAAGAAGTTTTCTAATCGGAAAACTTGCACGTATATTTCTAACGATCGTCGGTCAGACGAATTGATCCGCAACCACCTGTAGGATTTCTCAAATCCCTTTCATGCTCTTCCACTTTCCAACTAATTTTTTCTTTCTCCTTTTCCACTCTTTTTTTTTTAAATACACACTTGTTTATGTGTGTGTGTATATACACATATAAAACGACTTATTTCGTGTTTAAAATTTATTCAAAAATTTCGATGTTTCTCCGTCTATAGATAAATATAAAATTTAAAATTTGTTAAATAAATTTGTTAACAAATAAAAACAATGTAATTCGTTTCGACGAACAAAGCCACGTTATTTTTTCGTTTATCACAATAGAAAAATTGGTAAAAAAATTTAAAAATTATTACATGGTTTTATTAATATCATAGAATTTCCAATATTTGTTATGTTTAAATAAAAACAATGGAATATTTTATTGCACAAACTCGGGAAATTTTTTTCTCTCTCCTCTGTAACATTTTTTAAAATTGGATTTTGGAACAGATGTTTTTCTCGC